GATATTCAAGGAGGAAAATTGCAATTTTTAATTTTTATTTTATGTTTTTATGACGAGGATGCAGAACGTGGCACGATGGTTCCCAAGACCAGAGGGGTCCTTCAACAAACCCAGCCCGGCAGCATCCCTTCCCTTCCCCGCCCAGGGAGCCGGTGCCGTAGCGAGGGCTGTGCTTCTCTTAAGATCTGTTCCCGAAATCTCGGAAGGCGGTTGCTGTGTTCCGTACCTGTAAATGGTGGAGACCATGTTCTGCTTTTTAAGGGGCTGTAGTTAAAAGAGAGATATTTATAATTTCTTTATGCGATCTATTTCAGGACAGTTTTTGGTTTGGGTTGTTTTTTCTTTTTTTTTTTTTAAATCAAATGCAAATCACATCAAGACAGTGTGAAAAACAGGGAACGGTTCCAAAATCCTTTTTATAGGCTTTTCAATAATTTTTTGATGACTCTCTGAAATTTTGGGGGGGGGAAAGGGGGGCAACACACTTTCTTTACAGATTCATTGATTACTGGTGGGTGTGTAATCCGCCTTTTCAGTTCCTGAGGACAAAGGGTGGGATGAACGGGGGGGAGAGCGATAACCCTGTAGCTTGTTTTAAAGCAAAATAGTGCCTGTTGCCCGATGCCGAACCTCACTCATATCAACTCTCAAGAGCGATTTCAGTGCTGAGCGGGAGGAGCGATACCTTTCGGTGTTTCCAAAGGGCTATGCGAATAGATTGCAAGACTTCTTGAACCAAATCATGGGGTCCGACCTCCGCTGGTGTAAATGAGCATATCCCCAGCGCCACATCAGTGCAGCTACATCTGTTTACACCAGCCTAAAGGCTTGGTCCGAAACTCTTAAGCAAACCCTGGCTTCGATGGGGCTTTCTTTTTTTTCCTTCTGCGTGTGGATCAGCACATCTCGTTGCTATTTCTTTGCCTAATTTGCTCAGAGCGAACTGGGACGTGCACACCTTGGGATGATGGAAGCTTGTGTCTTGTAGACACGCTGAGAGGGGGAGATTCCTCCGTGGGCTTTGGAGGTTTTTGTGCTCTTTGGGGCTATTTGGGGTTTATCCAAGCCAGTATTTGGATTGAGGTTGGTGTTTTCTTTCTCGAGGCGCAACCCAGTGCTGACTCTTTGCTTTATTACAGGGCTCTGTAAAGCGGGGGGTGGGCTGGGGGACCCCTCGGTAGGGCAGGCTCCCTGCGGCCACGGGGACACTCAGCTCCGTGCACTATTTCTCTCCTTGCAGAGGGGGTGTTGATGAGGTTTTTTTCTTCTTCTCTGTTTTTTGAAGCAGCATGTGCTGCTCTGTAAGGAATAACCCGTTTCTCCTCCGCATCCAGTGCGCCTGTAGCTAGGGCACGCCTGTCCCTGGGTCTGGGGAAGCACCAGTCGCTTTGCTCAACGCCTCCCATCCTCCAGCTTTGTGACCAAGTGAGTGGCTTCCTACCTTCAGTTGCTTCTTTGAAAGGGAAAAGTAACCAAATTCAGCCCCGTCCCTATTTGAAACGGCCGAGCGAGACGCGCTGCGGCCGTGAGCCGGTTCTCTCCGCTGAGGTGCAAACGGGACGGTCCGAGAGCCGCGATGCGAGAACCGCCCGTGCTTCGCTTTCGCTGTTCACTGCCTTGTGCTCCTAGTAGTGTCCTTCCGAAACGTCCCCTCACAGCACTTCTGTGTGTAACTTTTGGGTTTGTGAAGATGTTTTAAGGGAAAAAGAAAACGGCTCACACTTCTAACGCAAACACCAAGCTGAAAGAAGGCTTAAACACTGCGGCGTGCAGGTTTTTTCACGATACCACGTGTTCCATTTTTCACAGGATTCTTGCACTAATGGTTTTCCATCTGTTCTCTCTGTAAATGGGTGCACTTTACTGTTTGAGTTTGTTACTATGATAAATACTGGATATTTAAGCGTGAGTAGTGTCTTCATTAGAAAATAGCAAAACAGCTCTTGTCTCAGTGTATTTTTCAAAAAAAAATAGAAAAAAAGAAAAGAAACAAAGCAATGAATCATAACATTTATAGCACAAGAACTGACTCTTGTATATAAGCATCAACAGATCGAGTAATTTTTAAATACAAAATGATTTGCAGTGGTTTTAAAGCACTTCCCCAGCAAATTCTCTTAGGGACAGCTGAGGCAGGATGGCTGCTGGAGTCCCCGGGTGGGTAAGGAGCACACCTCTCCCTGGAAAAGCCGTTCTCTACACAGTCCCCTGTGTCCTCAAAGTCACGATTCGCGTTTGGCGTGGATGAAGAGCAGAGGTCGTTCCGTGCTGTGCTGTCGCGCGTGGTCCTGCTGCGAAGCGCGCTGGCGTACGCGTGGCTCGGTGGAGCACGAGGCTCCGCTCTCACCCGGTGTCCCTTCGCCCTCGAATCTTAGACGGTGCGGGAGCGTGCGCAGAGCTTCAGGCGCGGTGCTGTCTTGTCCGTCCTCTCTCTGCTCATTTAATTACTCAAAGAGTAATGAAGATGTGGGACATTGCTGCCAGCCGGCGCCTCCGTCCCCTCCCTGGCTGCAGTGGCACTGCCGGTGAGCCCCTGTCATCGAGTGAGTAGGATCCTTAGGTGCACCGAGTCAACCAGGTTCTTGATGGCGTTGAAACCTCCGGGTTTGGTTCTTGGGGCGCGTTGGTTGGGTAGGCGATGCAGAAGCCGACCCCTGTGTTCAGCCCACCTTCCCACCAGGTGTCTCTCATCCTCTGCCCGCAGCCGCTCCAAGAGCTGGGTGTGCCGTCTCCCAGCTCGGGGCGCGGGTGTCTGCCGCCCCCACGGGCGGGGATTCACCAGCTCTTGCTTCGTCTCCCAGGCTGGGAGGATGCTCCGGTCCCAGGGGAGGGGACACCCACCTGGCTGGGGGCTTTGCAGCGGTCCCCGCCAGCCAGGCCGGGAATGGCATTGGAGGGCTTTGAAAATAGTCGTTAGTGCTTAGGAAAGGGAGGGTTTGACCAAGACAGATCCCTTGGGATCCGTCTCCAAAGGCAAAAGTGCTGCACAGCCTGAGCCGCCTTCTCCACATCGCTGCTTGGGAGGGCGCAGGCTGGCCGGCTCCCGACAAACCGAGCCGTCCGTCCGTCTGTCTGCCCCTCTGCCGCCGGGCACCGGTGCCTGCAGGTGGGTCCGTCTGAGCACTGAACTTTTTGAGTTTTTTCTTTAACTTGGCTGTAAAGAAAACGGCTTGGCTAGTGTGAACATTTGTGTGTGCGTGTGACAAATACCTAAGCCATACTTGGATTAGGTCCGGAACCAGGGTGGCGACTAAATTTGGAGCGATTCAGTCCCCTCGTACAAAGGTTGCTGTATATTCAGGGTTACCCAGAAGAAGTCTAGCTAAAACCGAAGTGCCAGCTCCGCCTTATCTAGAGAAAAGCAAGCCGGCGTGCCTGCTCGTCCTCCCCCCTCCTTGCAAAGGGGGGTCCGTGGTGAGCTGTTGAAAGCTCTTTGGTGGTTGTACTTTGCTTTAGTCTTGGGAATTCAAGATAACTCTTCTACCGGGATTAACGGTGTTTAACCAAGGGCTTAGGGGAAGAGCTGTTGTACCCGCTGGACCTCTGCAGATAAATGCCTTCACCCCGTGCTGGTTGCTCTACGCAAAGTCTGGTGGGGTGCGTGTTGGACACAAAGCACAATGGTTGAAAGTTAATCTGCGTTTTTTTCAGATTTGTGTGAATAGTTGCTGGATTTTCATTCAATCAAACTCTTTTTTCTAATATAAACCACTAAGGGCTCAATTCTTTAGCAAGATGCGTTCGTGTCCAACTCCTGACTATACAGCTGGATCTCACTGCAACTGCTACAAACCTACCCGAGAGAAAACACAGCTAGTGCGACCGTCACCGGGAAAGCCGATGGACACCAAACCCATCCGCCGAATCCTTTCCTCCTGCTTCTTTTCTAGCTGTCACGGTACTGGGGAGTCAGCAGCTGGGCCCCGTCCGACAGGATCGCATCCTATAGTCGCGAAAACAGAGGGCTGCTTTGCCAAAAGACTTTGTCCCTTCTAGGTGACGCCGTCCGGGGACGGCGGCGGGGCTGCGGGTCGTCTCCTCCGGCGGGTCGGGGCCGTGCTGGGTGGGTGGGAAAGCCTCATGCCCAGGGAATTGGGTCGCTTCACCGTGGGGCTGCCTCGCTGTGCACTGAGAAGCCAGACACTGAGAGCAGCACTGTGTGCTACGTAAAGTCCATTTTGTTGCTACACCGATAACCCAGAGACTCGTGTGGACTCTGCCAGTACTGCCGGTGTCATCCCTGTCCAGCCTTTTCTTTCCCATAGTGTTGCATTCAGCGTTTCGTCTCCTTCTGTCTTCACATCCGAGAGGATCTGAGTTTGGTACAGACCCGTACAGTACACACACCTTGTGCTTTGTACCGTTCCCTGGTTGCCATCCTCTGAGACACTTGCTGGGAAGATCTTTAAGACACTTAAATTTTCCTTTAGCTTTTCTATAATTCTGATGTAAAGGACTTTCTCTCTGTACAGTATATTATTCAATGCATGTTCTGTTCTCTCTACTGATATATTGAACACCACACAGTTGTGATATTGTGCAGTGGGAAGAGCAGCCCCTGCCGACAGCGGAGGCCTTCGCCTCTCATGTATAAGGAAAGAAGAAAACATATTTTTTCCTTTGCTGTATTTGCTTGAGCAGAGTTTTCTTGTCTGTACATGTGAGCTGTGAGATAGATGTGAAAAGTTCAAAAGAATGCATTCCCCCCCCCCAATGTATACAGATTGTAATCTGTACAATGAAAACTGTATGTATGAAAAAATGTACTTATTTATAAATGGTTAACACTTGGAAACGGCGTCTGGCCTGGTGTTTTTCCCACGCCGCGGTGAGCGAGGGAGCGTGCTGTGGCTTCTCGGTGTGGAAGTAACCTGGGGACGTCAGGACGGTGCGAGGGTCGGGTCTGGCTGTCACTGGGTGGGGATGGGGACAGGCATCTGGCACCACCAGGAGCAGGAGGGGACGGAGGCAGCAGCGCTACTGCCGTTAGCAAAGGGGCGTTAATGAAACAGCGGAGGGGGGGGAGCTGCATCAGAGAGTTTTCTGGATTTAACTGCGAAGCGCAGCTCAGCGCTGTGGGCACCGGAGCCCTGCAGCTCCCGCCTGTCTGCTCGCTTCATCCCTGCCCAAACCCAGGGCTCGGTTCCGCGGCCGAACACCCCTCGCAGCTGCGAGCATCCCTGCTTCCAGCTGCCGGGCCGGGCTGGGGGCGCAGCGCTGGAAGGATGCGGCACGTCGGGGTTGCGGTGAGCAAAGTCCCCCGAGTTGGGCTTGTGCCTTTGCCGCCGGGGGCTGCGGTTGCTTTGCAGCACTGGGCTCCGGGAGCTTCCCCGGCCCGGCTGCCTGTGTAACCCAGAAGGATGCTTTCGGCAGAGATGAGCCCAGGTCTCAGGGATGCGCCTCCTCAGGGTGGTGGGTCTCGTCCACTTCCATAGGCACATCCAGTGCGTTGGCCAGCCCCTGGAGATGGCCCCATGGGGTCCCTCACGCTCACCGCTGAGCTCTGCAGCACTGAGTGCATGGCATGGGGTGCAGACAGGACAATCCCATCCCAAATCCCCACCCTGCCCTCCCCAGCCCCTTGGGCAGCTCGTGTCCTGGCTGCCCACGGTGTGTGTGGGAGCTCAGGGGTACCCCGAAACGGTGAGCTGGGGGAGCAGAGACGGGAGGAGGACAGGGTTAGCTGCAGACTTTTATTAGGTCGGGAGCATCCGCTGAGCAGACAACACATCGCACAAGAGGGAAAAACATTTGAGACACGAAGACACTGAACCTGCACAGACGTTGGGTCGCTCCGAGCCCCCAGGGAGCCGTTTTGGGGGGAGCAGCCCCCATGCGCAGCTGCGCTGGAGGGCAATGGGCTGCCAGCAGGTGGGAAATCCTGGTGATGGCAAACATCTCCTCTGCCCATCGGCCCAGAGAACGGGCTTTGGGCTTCAGCTGCTCGCAACAGGGAAATCTGGGCTCCCACCCCTCGGTCCCTAGAGCAGGGCAGAGCCTGGGGACCCCCATCCCCTGTGCCCCAGCACTGCTGCCAGCCCCTCCCCCTGCCTGTGGCACTGACTTTCCCGTGTGGCTGGGGGCAGGCTCAGGGGGTCACCAGGCGCTGTGCAGGGCAGAGCTGAGGAAGATTAAGGCCAAGCATGGCTGAACCCAATGGGCAGCGTTACACCAACAAGCATGTCCTTCCCCAGCTGTCCTTGTCACCCTGAGCCAAGCAGAGCCCCAAGACACGGGGGACGGGGTACACAGGAACATCCCACTGACACCACGAGGAGCCCATGCCAGGGACCGGGAAGCTGGGGATGTCACTGGCTG